AACATCAAATTTTCATTTTTGGGTGAACTATCCCTTTAATGTGGCCTAGCTGAATAAAAGTATAAATTAAAAAAAAATAATCTTACTGTTCTCAAACTGTCCATTGGGTACATTTTTACATATATACATAACTTTTAATGCATCTATACCTACTTAACACGTATCAATTTTCACATCATTTAACTTTCAGAATGTTACAAACCTGCCGTTCACCGTGAGCCCCAGACCGTAACTACAGTGGCTGTGTTGGGTCATTTTTGGAGAGCCGGTTGTGCCACTGGTGAAGAAGATAGTCATGGCCTCCTCACTCCTGGTGTCCATGCAAACATGATCATCTGACACTTTTCTACAGCACAAACACAACATCTGATCTTAAATAAATCACCAATTTGTAATTTTTTATATACTTTTAAGGAATGCATTTTCTTCAGTAAATTACAGTGCTGCCTGTACACACACACCCCATGAGTTCGGTCAGGTTGCCCCAGCCGTGCATGGCCCTGTGGGACAGCAGAAGCTTGGTGGAGATGGAAGGGCAGTCTGAGGCTACTGTGTCCAACAGTGGAGCCAAAGTTTCATCTGTGATCACACACTTGGCCCCAGACGTCTGCAGCCGGTGGCAGATATCTCGAGCAGTGAGCTGAGACGTGCTGGGGATCAGAACCGTACCTGTGCAAGGAAACGGGGCATTTAAAGAGGAACCACTGTGAGTGTGTGTGTTTTTATTGATTTAGACCAAATAGTACGGAATTTAAATATCTGCCAACTATGGGTTATCAGTCATAACATGAAAATAACTTTCAGCATATCTGTTAGAGAATGTTTGTTAACATTTTTAAATTACACACTTCAACTTGAAGCTAGTATTATTGTTTCAACAGAAGTGTGAATCAGTAAAGGTAGATTAAAGTTTAACTCTAAGAATGAATCACCAGAAAGGGAAACAGAACTAAGGGTGAATGAATCCTGAATTCCTGAAAACATATTTGAGCAGGACTGTGGGACTGTACCTGTTCGGAGACATGCCACATTAACCAGCCACCACTCAGGGACTCTGGGTAAGATGAGGAACACACGATCCCCTCTCTCCAAACTGCACTCCTGATGCAGAACATTTGCAAGTCTTCTGGAGTGGAAGCCCAACTCCTCAAAACTCCATCTGACCTCCTCCCCGCCGTCATTCACCCACCACAGAGCTGGAAGAGACGACCTCTGTCCGTTCTGTAATATACAACAACAATACACTGAACAATTTCACAAGTGTTGGCATTGTGAAATAACTGTAAGGCATTAAAATGAACTAAGAAGACTGGGATAATACCAGTCTCCACAAACATTATATAATATTACACCAATCAGTAGATTAGTATATTTCTGCTGCACTAGAGTCACCAAGCAAAATGGCATACCTGTTATTATTCCCATCTAATATCTCTTTTATTTAAAAATAAAATACATACAGGTTTGGAACGACATAAGATTTCGTAAATGAAGACGAACATTTTTTTTGGGAGTGAACTACCGGTAATAAAAGCCAGTTCCTTATTGGCATTATGCTCCAAGAAGGGAAAAAGGCACCTAATAATTACTAGTAATGGACCTGTCATGTTTTGTGGTATTAGTTGGTTTCACTTTTATTTACAGAAATTGCATGGTAATACCAATGTCAAAAGTACTTTATTTAGCTCCTTACTTCCAATATTATTACCATTATTATTTTATTATCATATTTTTTGCATACATGACACATGCAAATTCAAAAAGTACTGAATGAATAAATATAATAATGACAAAGGGGTTTCCAAACACTCCCCCATCTTCCACTACTCTCCCCTAAGGCCCGCCCCAAAATATTGATAGAGAAGAGAACAGCCTCAAAGTTTTCTTATCGGCAAACGCGTGGGCCGCGGTCAGCGTCTTTTTCGTGTGATTTCAATGTCTTGAAATGTTTTTACACTTGAATGTACAGCATCGGCTCATCTGCTCAGGATTTTACATATGTTTGTTTAGGAATTATTCAAAAGTATTATCCATCCAGTCAAAATATTAACCGGACGTTAACGTAAAATGTATTCCGTTTACAGTAAAATGGAACAAGGGACAAACATATCAGAACATCAGAAGCAGAGCATTTTCTTAAATGACCTTTTCTTTGGTTTCCCACTGCTCCAGCACGTCCTTAGCGAAATTAAACCGCTGAGGAACTCGTATGTCGTAAGTCCGTCTCATGCCCTCATAATCGCAGAAGTTTTTTGGTGCAGATGTTTTGGATCTACACATTTGCAGCCACTGACCTCCTTCATGCACTTCATTTTTCTTGGAGATTTTCAGACATTGGTTGAAAAAGCTTTTTCGAAGCACATATAAATTCATAGTAAGTCTTTTAACGGTGGACGCGACGTTATAAACTAAAGCAACTGAGGTCGTTTGTCTCACGCTACATTAATGACACGCAGCTGAAACCTTCACACGGATCAGTATCTCATTTTCGTTGTCAGGCCCTTTAATCGTTGTTTTCCAGTTCGTTACAACAAACTTCTAAAAATGAAACGGCATTCTATTAAAGAAAAACGCAAGCACTGCCGAACATACAGACGCAATATAAACTGCCCAGGCACAGTCCAGCTTCGCGAAAACAGACACTAAATCTCTTCAGTTTAGCAGGAATGACCGCCTACAA